GGTTCAGCCGCACGGATCCGCCGACATGAACGATCCCATACATTGCTATGGGGACCGTTCATGCGACCGCGTGGGTCCACGCGATCCGAACCGAAACCCCCCCCCTGCTTGAACTGCTTCCTGCACTATTTTTGCTGCAGTTTCCATACAAATGTCAATGGAACCGCGGTTTTGGGCGTTTTTTATTTTGCGTTTCAGCGCTGAAACGCAATTAAAAACTCCCAAAACCTCCATTTTGAGATCAGTCTGGTAACTGTGCTGATCCACAACCGCCCTGGTGTGAATGGGCCCTAAATCTGGCTGCTATGAGTAACATCTTTCATTGCTTTGTATTATTAATAATTGATATGTCCTATTGATTGTTCACATCACAAATATGCAAGAGAGCCCAAAGTGCCCTGACAACTGAACCACTGGGAATGTGCTCATTTCAATTTCCCAGACAAAATAGTTCAATTTTCTCTTACAAAATAGTTCAGCAATTTGATTTATTCAACTGCCACCCTTATAATCTCCAACTTGCAATCAATCAATCTGGTAGAAACACTGTGTCTGGCCAATCAGTTCCTGCTGACTTCCACGTACACTTCCTGACTTCACTGCGGAGTGGGCTTTATGTAAAACCAAAACACGGCCACTTTCTTTTGTTTGCACACAGGAACACTACATTCTATGTGGTGAGTTAATATTTTGCTTCAACTCCTGCCTCCACAGGTGGCTGAAGACTGAGAAAGTCGAATGTTTTGCTTGAAATCTAGCAGTACTCTGTGTACAATAATAAAACATCTGAGTACATTGCAAAACAGAGACAGAGTGACTCAGAAAAAACAGGTCATTTCATTTCATGCTGTATTCCATCAGCTGACTAAACTGGATTAGCCTAGTTCACACTAAATGGAATCACTTATGAAGAAATGACTTAAAAAGGAACCTTCACAACTTAATTTTTTAGTTTTTTTTCCTGAAGCTTGATTCATTTTGTGTGAATTTATTGTCATAGAAGAGCAGCATGACTTCCCTTCTTGGGCTTCTTTTCTTGATTCTGAATTATGCCTTTTTATTAAGTACATCTCACAAGCAAGTGTCACCAACCACGTTCAGGTCCAAGAATAGGCGCCATATTCATTGTCTGCCACCCTAAGCACTGAAAACAGACCATCAAAATGTGGATACATGCACTATTTTTTCTGACTGTACCGGACCGGATCACAAGCACTGATGTGCAACACGTTCCCGTGCGGCCGAATGCATTGCAGCCGAAGAGCGTGGCTGCGGTGCCAATGAGTTCAATGCAACGCCACGCCCCCTCCCGCAACAAATGCGCTCCAGTCCATTCCGGCCGCAATTGGGCCAGGACGCACTGAGGCTGGTGTGACCTAGCCATCATATACAATATGGTACGTCACCCTAATTAACTGACATATCAAAATGGTTGTCATATCACTTCCTCAAACTCAATCTGTCCAAAACTGAGCCCATAATGTTTCCTCCCCACATGTCTCTTCTCCCAAATTTTCCATTTCTCCATTGTGATCAACAGTACAAAAAATGACCCCATGCTTTTTTGCCAACTTCCCAGCCAATCAGTATTGAGCCAGCTGTTTGGCTGGCTTGATGCTGATTGGCCGGGAAGCCTGGCGCCATGTTCCCTCGCGGCACTGCCGGAAATCTCCCTCTGACCAGAAGTTCCGGTATCCGGGGTAAGTTTTGGAGCATTTTGGCGAGTACGAGTACTCACACAATTACTCGGTAGCGATGCATGCCTACTAAATACTAACAATAACATACAAAGCCATCCACATATCTGTTCCAAGCTACATGACCAACATCTTCTCAAAAATCTCCCAAACTGTCCTCTTTGCTCTTAGCAAGAACTCCTGCTCTCTAGCTCCCTCGTCACCTCCTCTTATGCTTGCCTCCAGGACTTCTCCAGAGCCCCTTCCATCCCATGGAACTCCCTACCCCAATCTGTCCATCTATCTCCTACTTTGTACGCCTTTAGGTGATCCTTGAAAACTCATCTCTTATCCCAACTTGACATAATAACAGTACTTTTAATTCTTCTATCAGCTCATCCCTTACAATTAACAACTTTTCCATAATTTGCCCCTCCCTTTAGATTGTAAGCTTCCATCTGTAGGGCTCTCCTAACTCTCTTGTATTGATTTGTATTATAACTGTACAGTCTCCCTCTATTTTAAAAAGCACTGTACAAACTGTTGGCACCATAAAACCTGTTTTATAATAATACCAATAATAATACAAGTGTCAGAAAAAGGATATGTTCCTGTTGTGTGTTGCAACCAATCGTGGCTTTTTCTTTTTTAAGGGAGCTGATAAGCCTCCCCCCCATGTGACAGCACTTTGTAAGTGGCAGGTGTTCCTGATAGGACATCAGGAAACCCCCTGCTAAAAAAAAAAAAAGTTAGACTCACCAGACCATCCGAGGCGGCTTCCTGCTTCTGTGATCACTGAAGCATGTCTCCACCTCGCTGCACAAATGGACTGCTCCTCGGCCTCCTCATGTCTATACACAATCTATGAACAGTGTATAGAGCGTGATGATACCAGGATCCTTAGACTGCTGCAGCAGAGGGGCATAGATTTTCTAGACATTGGTCTAAAAACAAGCCAACTCGGATGGTCTGGTGAATATAACTTTTTTTTTAGCACTTAGACAAAAACGAGCACTTCCCACTGCAAGAGTTGATAAAAATGTTCCCTGGAGTTCTTCTTTAAATGGTCTGGACAGATTTGTTGGTACCCTCAGAAAAGATTAAAAAATATTGGATCATAGTGATATTTCAGACTGTTTTCTGTAATTAGTATCACACATGACTTCAATCTTGTAATCATTTAGAAAGCCTTCTCGGTGACAATGGTCATCAGTACAAATAGAGTAGTGAATCTCCCCAAAAGAGATACAGACTGCAATATAAACTGGCTATAGAGTCTGTCTCTAGGTATTGCCTAGCAATACACTTTAAATTTATATTATTTGTTCAAGATTAAAATGAGCTATTAGAGTAAGTATATGTCCTGAATCCTCCCCTCCAGGGGCTTTTCAGGCTAAACATAGCTTACTGACATTCATTATGTAACTAGAAACAAGGGTGTAACTATAGACATGACAGATCATATAACATGTATGGTTCAAACATGGTAAATGGGTTTCCTGGTGGCCCTGCTATAAACAGTTACACCTCTGACCGAAATTACCCTTATGCCCCTTTCACATGATCCAATCAGGCACATCCTTCAGTTTTTCAGCCGAATGCTCTATGCAATTCTATGGGCAGCTGGGTTTAAACGGACGAGCATCCGTTTACCCCTGGTTAGCTCCGGCTCCGACTTGGTCTGGTAAAACAGACGGATTATGCCGGACCGGAGGTAATCTGACGTAAACAGAAGTAAACATGTCTGCCACTTTCAGTTTTTTCCTCCATCACAAGATGGAGGAAAAAACTGTATGGACACGGATGTCACAGTGGTGACATCCGATCCAAGGCACTCTGATCAGGAGAGGATATGTTGATGGCTCCTCTCCTGATCGGCCAGTGTGAAAGGGGCCTTAAAATGGCTCATCGGGAAATGATTAACATTATGTCTACCACAAGTAAAGAGATAATGGGCATGTTTTTCCTTCTAGTGAAGAGAAGCCCCTGGTTACTGTTTGTTATGTAACATGGCATGCAAAGTGAATCCCAGAGGTTACAGCATGCACTGACATAATTGGTATTACCACAAGGAAGAAAAACAGTCCATTGAGATTATTCATGCTCTCAACACCTCTCACTCCTGTTCTTCATCACTGCTAACATGTAAATATGCATACATATTCTACAGACTGAATAATAGGCAGAAAAGCCTGTATATGTTTTTCGAACACTATGTACAAAAGTATTACACTGAAGCTAGTGTACTCTTGTAGACTTTGCCCAGGTGATACATTCTTGAAATTCCAATAATCAATTGGCCACGAGACATGATTGAAGTATGACAGTGTATACCTGAAAAAAGTACAATGCCACATCTACATTTTATGAATATGATTAGTAACTAGCACATTTCTTTCTCAGAATACACCCATGTTTATAAATTGGGGTGATCCAGTTTAAATTATGATCTGTCGCCATCTCCTTGCTTACTATTATAATCTACATGTGCCAAAAATAAAAGTACATGTATAGCCAGAACTTTTCTTTATAGTTATGGATAAAGTATTAAAGGGTTAAAACCCTGTCACTTTATTTTTTTGCTGCCTATGCTCTGGTAACAACTCTAAAATTTGGGATTTTGTATTACTTTCTGTCTTGGTGACAATAGTCATAATGATAATACAATGACAATAGTCAATTATTAATTTCCCCATTGGGGAAACAGACAACTATAACAACCTGACTGGGGTTTTAATTTTAACCTTTTACTACTCTATTTAAAACTTATAAAAAGGCTTTACATACACTTTAAAGAATGTGTACAATCAATGTTTAAGCATGCTCTTAGAGGTGTAGGATATGTTAATCCACAATGTAAGTTTGTATATTACTCTCCTTTGCCAGAGCTTGGGGCTGTATTTAGTAAATGCTACTTCCGCTAAGAGTATATATATAATGTTACGAGTTTTGAATATTTATTTCACCCTGGCCAATCACTTGGAGGTTTAGGCCAGTAATGTAAGATGAGGAAGGAGATAAATATTTGGGGAGCCCTTATATGAGGGTCTTTGCGTTCCAGGTTTTTTCTTGCCTCTCTGGCCTAAAGTCTTGGCCTAAAGTTACGCATGAGGCCCATTAGAGGCGATGATTTGGGGCGGCAGTAGTCCAGTGCACCAGTTGTAAGGCTGGGGGAGCCC